AACTCTGGACTGTTGTCATTCACATCTGACACAACAACACTGATTGTCTTTTCAGATGATAATGACGGTTGACCAGCATCTTTTGCAGTTATTGTCAGGTCATAATGTGACTGTTTCTCTCTGTCCAGAGGGGATTTTGTCACCAATGAAAACATTTTGTCTTTTAAGGATGGTGACAAAGTAAAAGGAACATCCTCATTTATTGAACAAATAACTTTTCCATTCAGACCTGAGTCTAAATCATTGACACTAATAAGAGCAACAGTAGTTCCAGGTCTGGAATCTTCAGGGATGGAACTGGAAAATGAGGTAACCTCAATCTCAGGTGCATTATCATTTACATCCACTATCTTGACAATGACGCTTTTCTCTGTTGTAAGAGGAGCAAGACCTTTATCTGATGCCTGAATCTCTAATTCATATCTGTCTTTTTCCTCATAATCTATTAAACCTTTAACAGTTATCTCTCCTGTTAATGCATTAATACCAAATAGATTTAATATGTTTTGATTGCTGCTCTTGCTGAACGAATAAAAAACGTCTCCATTTGGACCGTCATCTAAATCAGTTGCATTTACTTGTATAACTGTTGTGCCTACTGGAGCATTTTCACTGAGGGTCACAGAATAAACATCTTTAGAGAAAACTGGTACATTATCGTTTACATCCAAAATTTTAACTAGAATATTCATGTTCCCAGATTTCGGAGGTTTACCTCCATCCAGGGCCGTCAGTGTTAGTGAGTGACTTCCTGCCGTTTCTCTGTCTAAAGGTTTTTGAACAACCAATATAGGTATTTTACCATCATCTCCTTTATCTTTCACTTCCAATCGGAAATGATCGTTCTGGCTAAGTTTATATTGCTGCACGGAAAATGGACCACTGTCTCGATCCCGTGAAGGTTTCAGCTGAAATCGTGCTCCGGGCAACACAGATTCTGAAATTTCCAATGTTTTATTTTTCTCCGGGAACATGGGAGAATGATCGTTTATATCCAGAACTTCCACTTCAACATAATGAACCTCCAGCGGGTTTTCCAGCACAGTTTTGACATTGATCACACACGTACTGCTCTGCGCGCACACCTCCTCTCTGTCAATCTTCCGGCTCACATACAGGACACCATCGTTGTGATTCACATGGAACAGAGGATCCGCATCACTAGAAACAATCCGATACTTTC